AGTTGTGTAGAATTTAGTGCTTCTGGTGTTGGGGCAAAACACATCACCCTGCCATTGAATAGCTGTGATGGGTGTTGTGTGTATGTTCCAGGTGGGAAATGTCTTCTTTCATCAAATGAAGGATTTTTACCTATTTTCTCTCCCTTGTGGCTGTTGCCATACTGGGATATTTATTTAATATGCAGTTTTTATTCTTTTAAATTGTGTTGGAGCAGTATAGGGTTTCTGTATATTGTTCACACACGGGTTTGTGAGGTTTGTTTGGGGTTTCTTTTCTTAACTCCTAAAAGTACCCAGGTACAAAAGAACAATTTCTTTAAGTGTTCAGCTGTGGGAACTAGGAGAATTGTTATTTAATCCCCTCTCTGTCCCTTTCTGATAGATCAGAGTAGGGAATGAGGCTGTTTTACAGGTCTCTGGGCATGTTAAGCGTTTTTTTGTGGGCACTTGTGATCAATATTTATCAGTAGTGCAGTGAGCACTGATACAAGTGTTATGCTGGCCTTGATGTAATTCTCAGAATAGTTTTGAATCTCTTGCTTTGACTCAAACTGATGTTTGGGGGGGTCTGTCTGTCTCTCTTCAGACACAGGCGCCTGGCTTTGCTGAAGCAAGTGAGTATCAGAGAGAACTGCTGCACACTTTGCTGTGATGAGGTAGCAGACACAGAACTCAGGCCGTGTGGACACAGGTAAAACCTTAAAAAAGCTCAAATCCAAAGAAATAGGCAAATGTGTGTGTGATGTTCAGCTTAGATGCAGTCCCTGTTCATCTTGATTGACTCCCCAGGAGAAAGGAAATAACCTTCCTTCCTTTTAAGGATGTGTGATGTTAAACACAGTATTCCCACTATTCCCCTCATCCTAGACCTGAGCAGATTGAACCCCCAATGGTGTGTGTATTTGGGAAGTACAGAGGCTACATCTGTGTGCTGCCCTGGGCTATGGAGTCTTATCTCCCTGATATCAAAGGCTTTGCTGATTAGTACTTGATACCAGTGCTGTGAAATCCAGATCACATGAGGAGAGCAGAAAATTCATAATATACTCACAAACTCATTAAGTGTTCCACAAATGGATTGTCTCAAGTCACAAATCCCACTAAAAGCTGAAAATGAGACAGCAGTGTGAGTTATACCATAATAGCACTTCCCTGCCTTTAAGCAGCCTACTAGGAAATTATTCCAGTTAAGCCCAATTCCTTAGAGTTCTGGAGCACTCATGGAAGGAGCCTTGCCATGTGTCTAGATGCTGCAAAGTTAAAGAGAGATGTGCCTGGTGTGTTCCAACAAGAAACGAAGAAGTTGCTGCAAGGCAACTCCAGACCTGAGTGAGTGCTAGGATTAATGAGCACAGGGAAGTGAGATCCCAACCAACTGCAAGAGCAGCTGCAGGTCTGGGAGATGCTGAGCAGCAGGAGCTCCTCTCAAAGCCTGTAAATGGATCCACAACACCTGACTTGCAATGCCTAATCTCCACAGAGAGACTTAACTTGGCTGTGCCTCTGGCAGGCTGACTAAACTGCTTAGTGCTTGTATTATTTTGTTGTTGTTGATTAGTTTTTCATATGTAAAAGCAGGCTTTAACTGGTTTTTCTTCTCCTTCAGTGACCTGTGCATGGAGTGTGCCTTGCAATTGGAGACCTGCCCTTTGTGTCGACAGGAAATACAAACCCGAGTCAGACAGATCTCTCACATTTCATGACACACGTGGAGAAATACCACAGACTTGTTTTTAATGAACTCCAACCAATACTGAGAGGGGAAAGCATCTCTAACCAATCTTTATGCACATAGAACCATAGCCACGGCCAGATTTCATGCTAACTTGTAATCTGTTCATCTTAAAACCGAAATCTTTAATAAGCTCTTTGCAGCTGCCAGCGATGGGAGCTGGTTTCAGCAGTCAGGAGCTGTGGCTATTGGTTCCTCCGAGCAAGAGCAGAGGGAGTTGTCTCTTCTTCCCCTTTTCCTTCTCGCCTGTCGCAAGTGCTGAAAAAATTTGCACTGGAAGTACACATACAATGCATTTTAGAAAAGAAGAGAAAATAACTATTTCCTAAAACAGAGCCGTGCTGTCTTGTGCTCGAAAGTCTCTATTTTTGGCAGAAGTCAGTACTAAAAAAGAGAATGCCAATGTTTTCCTGTTTAATGTAGCCTCCTGCTGGTCAGAGACTCTGTATTTTCCGATATTAAACTGCTCAAAGACTGGATCTGTACACAGAATGATTTGAAAAGACAGTGTGGAGACTGTAGAGAAACTCACAGGTTTTAATAACTTGGTGATTCCAAAGAATGTTCTGATTTGTTTTTAAACGTTAAAAGATCAGTGATATTTTCAAGTACATAACGTTTCTGATGCTTTTAACTTCAGTACCCACATTTTTTTGTGAGGTTATAATTTTCAGGAGGTATTCTTAACTAATTACAATGCTGGACTGGAATTAATTTGATATTCTGGGTATTTTTTAAGGTATCATCAAACATCTTTTTTAATCAGTGTTGTTTTTGAAAGCTAGCTCAATTTTTCCAGTATCTTAAAATATTAGAGGAGAATTCTGGACCAGTTTATTTAAAACAAGGTTATTTGGATAGCAATTTCAGTCTTATTCTTAACTCCTTAAAAATGCACCTTGCTTGCCACATGTCAGTCCTGCTCTGAGCAGGTTTGGGGCCACACTTCCTATTTTTGGTAGGGATCATACAGTGGGAATCTCTGCTCCACTTTAATTACACATTTGTGATGTTTGTATGTTAAGGATGCACTTCAGTAGGCAGCTCTTTTACTAGGTTTCTACAAGGAATCAGGGTTCACAGCTGGTGTCAGTAAAGTAGCACAAAATTGGTGGGGTTCTGCTTATTTTGCACCAACTGAGGATGTGACTCGGTCTCTTCCAAGTCTTGTACAGGTTGATTTTTTTTTTTTAATATCTGTCTATATAGAAGAACTTTACTAATTCACACACAACTTACACCAAAACCATCCCACTTCTTGGCAGTGATTCAGCAGCAGAGGCTGTTACAGTGAATTCTCATGGTGTAATGTAGCTTATTTTTAAGATCATTTATTATCTTTATTGTACTATGAAGTGCTAACAAAGCAGAGCTGAGGCTGCTTCTTCCTGATGAGTGCTCTGGCTCCCTACAGACCTCAGTAGGAGCTTAGAGCTCTGCACACAGGTCCCAGAACCCAGCTCTCCATCAACTCCTTTCACTTCCTGCCTTTGCTAACTCAAGGGTGCTGAACTTCATCCAGAGATGTGTGAATTAGGAAAGTTCTGTCCATCATTTTCATGTTGACTTTCGTCCAAATGTAGACTGAATCCAGCAAGAGAGTGCTGGTTAGTGTTTTTGCTAAAATGTGGATGCTCTTCCACCTTGGATGCCTGGTTTGATTAAAGTCAGACTGGCAAATCTGTGCCACAGGGATCTCATTTCCTCGCTGACTGTACTTTACAATGTTTTGCTGTTTCCATGTTTTCAGACAGGGCCGAGTCCCTTCCAGCTCCATGTTCAACGAGCAAACGTGACTGCCATCACTGCCACAAGGGTGTTAGGAACTCAGAATCACTTGAAATGAAGTTTTAAGCGCTTCCAAATGCCATGATAAGTTTTTATCCCTAAGGTATGAAGTTGCAAATCATACTTTAGGGAAGAGGTGGGACAGAACCATTTTGAACTCTGCCTTAATAGAGTCTAGTAATTTCAGGGCTTTGGTTTCCCTGGCCAAGATTAACTGAGGTAAAATTTTCAGAAGTGCCTAGGATTCCTAATTTGTATCAACTGCTGTATGAGATTAAGGTCTTCAGGCCCAAGTCCACAATGGCTTCTAGGCATCTGCTATCCCCTTGGAATGCAGGTGACCTTAGAGCCTCGCTGCCTTTGTGGACATGGGACTATGTGCCTGCGTTCTTTATGGAAAAGATGTGAATGCTTTGGAAAATTTTGCCCCAGACTGTCTTCCATGCAGCTGGTGCTGGGCAGAGGAAGCCAAGGGTGGCAGAGGAGGGAGCTGTGTTGCAGAGAACTGTCCTGTTCATTTCACAAAGGGAAAGACTGTACACTTTGACTGGCTTTCTGCCGCCATTCACGTCGGGGGCATTTCTGTCAAGCTGGATATTCCACGACCAGTGCGGGGCCACCCTCGCTCCCTGCACCCCCCTGGCTTTGGGGATAGGGAGAGGGGAGGTGGTGACTCCACAGACCCTCACAGGGGGACATGAATTGTAGCAAAGTTGTCCGTTCAACAATAAAAACATCCTGAAGGCTGTTTGTTGTTCTTTAATTCCTTTTCGCCTGAGCTGTGGTGCGTGTATCCGCTCGGGTGTGGCAGTCGAGCTGGGGGCCTTGCTGGGCTCTCCCCAACCCTCGGCGCTCTGCTCTGATGGGAAACCCGCTTCGCCAGCGCCATTAACAAACACAAACACACACACACACACACACACACTGCTGCCTCCGCATCCCTCCCTCAGGCCCGGAGCCGGCCCGGCGCAGGACGCGCTCCCCATCCCGCCAGGGCGGCCACGCCCCCTTCCCGCGCGGCCCCTGCCGCGCTCTGATTGGGCGAGCGCTCCGGGGGGCGGGCCCAACGCGCCGGAGCCGCGCTGTGATTGGCTGCGGGCGGGGCGGAAGAGCGCGTTCCCCAGGAGACGGCCCGAGGGGAGGGGGCTCCGCGCCGGCCTGAGGGCGGTGGGTGCGGGCGGGGGGCGCGGGGCTGCGGTCACGGCAACGGCGCAGGGACACGGGGGAACGGGGCCGGGCACTGCCGGGGCGCTCTAGGGAGAGAGGGAGGGTGATGGCCCGCTGCCCTGGGTCCCTCTGAGGGGAGCGAGGCGTGCTGGGTACATGGGGAGGGACAGGGCTGGAGGGCTTTGCCCCCCTGGCCGGGGCTGAGGACGCGCTCCGCTCACGCCGTGCCCGCGGTGATGCCCGGGACTGCTCCGAGGGCCGGCGGAGGCTGAAGCGCAGTGGCCCCGGGGTGCCCTGTGCCCTGTCCCGGGCCGAGCGTCCTGCCGGGACACAGCCCCTGCGATCGCTGGCCAAAGCCTGGCCTGACACATGCTGGAGCAGCGTACCACCTTTATCTTACCTGGCTTTATTTCTATTATCGCCATAGATGTTTCAGGAGAAAAGATGTAGACGTGACCCAAAACCCCTTAATAGGGACTGTTTGAATTTTGAGCCTGTTCTCTGAATAGGCAGACAAAGTTTCTAGATTATTTGGGTTATTACAGAAAAGCAGTAGTAATAATTTTGGAAGAACGTGATGTTGGAATTCCTGTGTCTAAGAATTAAAATTTATCTCCTAATTTGCTCGGAAATGTATGGCAGTTTAGCAATTGGATTTGTATTAATACTAAGTCATGTTATTCTTTAGCACTTAGATCAAAAAGAAGAAATAACCACTAACAGCTGAAACATACAGATTGTCTCTTCCACTCTGGCTAGGCAGGACCAATGGAGACTTCTGATGGAGAAAGTTTGGGTGTAGCCACGTGAGTATGCTACATTCTCATGTGTCAGATTTTCGATAAGCTAATTGCTAATTAGAATATCTTGATAGAAATATAATTACAGAAATGAATTTACATCACACTGTTTTAGCAGATTCTGCCTCTTGGAACAAAGGTGCAGAATGCAAAGCTGCAAGAGGGAATAACATCAGTGAAGAGTTTAGGTGACGTCAAAATATCACTGTGGTCAGTGTAGCACTGGGTAGCTCTGCTGAGGGACCAGAGCAAACCTTCTAAGGCTGGAAATTGCTTTTTCTGGTGTTCATTTTAAATTCAGAATTTCTCCTTCTCAAGAGTGTTTGTTGTCTTATGTTGACATAAGTCATAAGTTATGTTGATCCTGAGAGGAGACTCTTCCTCTGTGTTCTCCTTCTAAAACTGAGCCCGTTCACAGGTGACCTCAACCAAATTTCACACTGGCAGATGCAAAGATGCTGCTTCACCCCACAAGTGTGTGCCATACTCTTCTCCCAGGAGTTGTGGCAGAGGGGGATGTGTGACCGTGCCTCTGTCGTACATGGATTTAATTCTTTCAGCCTCAGACTCTGAACAGCAGCTGTGCCAGGGCTGCCTCAGCAGCACAGTGTGCTGGCCCAAACTGGGCATGGTGAGGTGACAGGGAATTAAAACACAGGGTTGGTGAGCTCGTGTCTCTAAGTGTTGTATAAAAAGATGGAATCAGGTTCTTTTGGAACAGTTCAAGTTCCGTTATTTGCACAGACTTAAACCAGGGTTTAAATTAACATTTCTTCTATTGTTGTTAGGATAAGCTGTAAAACTAGCAGTAGCATTTCTTTGGGGAGGAGGAAAGAGTGGGAATTATCCGTGGTGCAGTGAGGGCGAGCCAAGGGAAGCGCCGAGGCTGGCTCAGCTGCCCGGGCTGTGCCTGTGCCGCCCTCTCGCGGGCTGGCCCGGGCCCTGGCTCCCCGCAGCTCCCCCAGCACCAATGCTGTCGCTAGGACCTTTTAAAATCAAAGATATCTCAAGTTTTTCCTGATCAGAGCGAGCCTGATTATAGTTAAATTGTCAGCTAAACCACTATTGGATTAATTTCACTGGAGTATTCTCTAATAGCAAAGTTACTTTTATCAGCTTTTCAAAACTTAGTCTGAAGGGCTATCCTACTCTGTTTACTGATCAGAAAGAGACATTTAATTTAATTTAAGTGGTACAAATGCCCCTGTTTCTTTCCGTCATTTGTGAGAAAAGTTTGTCGTGAGAAAAGTTTGTCATGAGAGAATAGGAAGACTTCATCTTCCACTAAAGATGAGCTGTGAATGCCAAAGACATCCTGTGGATTATTTATTGTGTTTGAACAAGTTGCACAATAATAGATTCACATTCCTGATGCTGGCACCAAAGATTTCTTCCCTGGATGAATTCAGGCCCATAATGCAGTTTATGTTTGCTCATGATAGAATAACCTTAGGAGATTATCCCATTTATTTGAATCATATAAGGATGTTTCTTGCATAAGAAAAAGATATAAGTTTCTTCATTTATGTAATACTTGTGTATACATTCAGTTGAAGTTGTTCCACAAGACCAAATATTTCAAAATATTCTGTAGAGTGTCTACAGTTCTGTGATCACCATGTGCAGGAAGGAGAAGGGAAACTAGTAGCAGCTGGGATTTGTGGGTTGGAAAAGGCTTAATTAATTTGTTCTAATTACACTCTTTACATTCTTTTGCACCAGAACTAGAATTACCTTGACAGTAATGCCAGTAAAACAGCATTTATTCTTTCTTGCAATTAGGCACCTTAGTGGGAGGAAATAGAGTAGAGGCCTAATGAGAATCTCCATGGAGCAGTCTTCTCATCAGTGCCATGGATTATTTTGTAGGTTGAAACCAGGAAGTTTTTCAGTTACCTTGTTTATCTGGTTTTATTTGTACTTAGGTTTTGTTAACACTTTTTAAATTTAACTTTTATTTCTGCTGTGGTCAAATATGTATTTATGCAGTCCTGTCTTTCTTTGCTTTCAGCTCCACAACTTCTGATGAGTTTGATGCAGTTGTTGGCTATCTGGAGGATATCATAATGGGTAAGGTCTGCAAGTAGGTACAGACAACAACAGAGCTGCTAAACGTGTTGCCAGCTGCTCTTCTGGTAATTAGCCAGAAATTGCCAGGAAACATACAGAGCTCATGCCTGCTTCATGGAAGCTTTCCTTCCTTTCTTACCATGAACCCCTTACCTGGTAGTGTAGTAAAAATATACATAAAATTCTTCTGTGTGCTTATGACTCTTGAAAACTATTCTCCACATCACTGCAGTACACTGCTTCTTAGGGAAACAGTAAAGATGTTTGTGCATCTCACAGAGAAATCAAAGCTTTCTGGGGTTTTTATGGAGCAGCCATAAAAAGGCAGCCTTCCCTACCCCTGCTCTGCCCAAACTTCTCCTGACATGTCTGTCAGGATGTTCTTAGAAGCCACCATGGTTTGTCTGGGCAGTTTTTTGCAGTGCCCAGCTGCTGCTGCTGCTGCAGGGAGCTTTTTGCACTCTGATATAAAGTGCCTGAGCTGCAGGCTGAGAGTTGATTCTATTCCAGCACTGAAAACTGCAAGAATGGGGAGCTTTATTTCTTTGTATCCAGCCCTGAAGCACAAAGGTGGTCATAGAATCAGAGAATGCTTTGGGTTGGGATGGACCTTAAAGATCACTCAACCCCCCTGCCATGGGCAGGGACACCTTCCACTAGAGCAGGCTGCTCACAATCCCATCCAGCCTGGCCACCTGGCACTAAAAGATGCCCAATTCTCAGGAATGTGGTTTTAACTGAGAAGTCAGTGTGTGCAGGGAAGTTTTTTACAAGGTGCCAAGGCAGAATTCATGCTGATCAGCCATCAGCTGCTTGATAGGAACAGCACATCATTTCTTTGGTCACATCCTTCCCAGAGAGATTGAGATTCTGGAACTCAGTTGCCTGGTGATGCAGTTAAATGTGGAAAAATGCTAACTAAATTAATTTGGAACATGTCAGAGTTTGGAAAGCTGTGACTGGTGTCCTTTACCAGTGTTTGTAATTAAACTTTTTATTTAGACCTGTTCTGTGGAATCCCATGGTTTATTTTTGCACGTTTATTTTTATTCTTCCACAACTGGAAAAAATTCTTTGGCAATTGAAAATTTAATATGGGAGTTTCGCTAATATTTTTAAATTCAAAGAAAAAAACCTGACTCTGAGTTCTTGTGGGGAAGAGGTATTCACTTAATACAGATGTTTTGCTGACTTTAGAGCCAGCACAAAAAGAGGTTCAGAATAAATAACTATTAATAAATGTAGAGCAGGAAGACTGTTTTGGTAATACTTCACTAGCAGCCTCTGTCCTCTCACAGATGGGTCAGAAGTGGTGGTTTGGCAGCAGCTGTGGTGCTGATGTGATGAACTGTGCACGTGTGCGGAGCTCTGTGGTTACAACAGGGAAACAGAGGACCAGTGAATGTGGGGTTTGTGTTACAGAAAGAATGACTAAACTCGTAACTGTGTGTTGCATTTCTGTTATGGCCCAGATGATGATTTCCAATTAATGCAGAGGAACTTTTTGGAGAAGCACTACCAGGAGTTTGATGACTCAGAAGAAAACAAGCTCATCTATACGGACATTTTTAATGAATATGTAAGATACCTTTTCCTATTTTTCATATGTATTACTTTTTTTTTTTTTTTAATAGATCTCCCTCTATAAAATACTGGGCTTATATGGAGCAGATCTCAACATGTTCCTGTTTCCTTTAGAAGCACAGCCATGATCTGTGAACAAGAAGAGATTTTTTGAAGCTTTAGGTTCCTTTCTCATTGTTTCACACAAAATTTTCTAGAAATATTTTGGAAGTTGTGTAGCTTTCTTGAATAGAAATTTAGCCAATTGCTATAGTAAACAATACGTTTAGCATGTGTGCAAAAAAAGTTTTCTCTAGTTGTATTATTTTTTGTATTGGATAATTCAATCACATTCTTCATGCAAAGCAGAATCAAAAAACTAGACCAGTCTACTATTCAGTACCATTAAATGAGTTGGAAAAATATTTGTTACTAGATACAAATAGTCAGTGTTTGTTCTCCCCAAGATCCCCAGCAAAAAATGTGCAGCTCTGTGCCTCAGAGCTGCTGTGAGAACAGAACCAGCAACACCCACTGAGGAATCTGCAGTTGTGCCCAGTGAGGATCATGCAGAGTGTCAAGAAGGTGTCAGTGTAAGGATGCTGTTTGAAATCTGCTTCTGAAATCTGTTGTCATCTTACTGGGGTGGTTTGTCTGGGTTTTTTGCAGATCTCTTTAGTAGAGAAATACATTGAAGAGAAGTTGCTTGATCGGATTCGTGGGTTTGATATGGTTGCTTTCACAGTGTCATTGCAGTAAGTCTCTGCTTTGCTTTTGGTTGAGGAGTGGCTCATGTGCCTCTCAGTTCTTTTTATCTAGATTAAAACTTAGGTTTGGCTGTTCTCCCTTTAGATAATAGTTCCACTTTAACTCAAAAAACAAAGTGTTCATGCAGGCAGTGGCTGACCATTTTTCTTGCCTTCAGCATGTCCTGCTACTCTAAATTTCTGAATTGTCATGCTGAAATATACTGAGTTTGAAGGGGTAGGAAGAGAAATCAGAATGAGAGCACTGGATGATTTTGATGTTTCTTGTCACTTTGAAGCCAGACCCTTAAAAGGTTGGGTCTTGTTTCTCTCTTCCAGGCACCTCAGTAGCCTGGTGGTGTTTCAGTCATGTGGTTAAATTCTTTTATTGCAATTTTTGCATGGAGCATTTAGTTTGGTTTGTGTTCAGCTTTTGCATTGGGTCATTTTAGCTTTACCAGCTTCTTGAAGAGCTTGTTTTTGAAAGATCAATGGTTTTCCCCTTGAATAAGAAAATCAAGTGTAATTGGGAACTGAGTATCTTAAAATATTTGAATATGTTTAATTTTTAATGTTTCTTAAATAAACAGGTCTAGTTTTCAAGGACTGATATGATACTCACAGGTCTTGGGTTTAGATAAATGGAATAATATAGTTAGATTGGAAATACTCTACATGGTAATATTTGGCTGCACTTTTGCTATATGATAACCTGCAATAACATTCTTGTTTAAATACTGATATTGTTCTACTTGTCCTTTTTGACCATGTACCATTTTAAAATAACGAATTTTTCTCACACAATTTTCTCGTTCCTCAACTTTTTTTTCTCTGTAGACAACACAAAGATGAAATGCCAGGTGATATATTTGACCTGCTGCTCACATTTACAGACTTCCTGGCTTTCAAAGAAATGTTCTTGGAATACAGAGCTGTGAGTATATCACATTGTTTATTTTCATTGGCACTTGGTTTGGTGTAGCTCCACCCTAGGGTACCAAAGGAAAAGTTACTACAGTAGGTCACAGTATTTAATCAAAGGCTGTAACAGAGTCAAAAGAAAAATTACTTCACTGAGTGGCTTTTTAAACTCAAACTGCACATTTAATAATTTCTAGGAAACATGAATTAAGCTGGCATGTGGAGCAGCTCTTCCTGCTTTTGTGAACTTCCTGCATTTGTGAACATTGTTTTCCAAATGAACAGAAGGGAACACTTTTTCACTCGGAGAGCCTCTGTCTCAGTGGAGTCAGAGGGGTTGTGGAGTCTCCATCCTTGGGGATATTCTAAAGTTGTCTGGACACAGTCCTGAGTGACCATGCTTGAGCATGGGGTTTGGCCCAGATGACCTCCAGAGATCCCTTTCTACCTTGGCCATTCTGACTCTATAGTATCTTCTTTTATTTTTTATTCCTAGTCTATAAAAAAATAGCTTTCTAAGCCTCTTTCATTTGTGTCTTCCTCCTCTCTGTGCCAGCTGGAGAAATATGCAAAAGTGCTAAGATTTTTAGATGAGGTTTTTCCTAACAGAATGAAAATCAGTGCTCTCCAGTGTCAGTCCACTTGTCCTGTCTGACAAGGAGCAAAAGAATCACAATTGTGGTTATGCCTCTGCCCCTTCCCCATCCCTGTGAATTTTGTGGAAATGGGGACAGCATTCTTGACCAGGTGTGAGCAAGACTCTGACATGGACAGACACTGGCAGGGTGACAGCCCCCTCCCCCCAGGGATTCCTGCACAGTCTTCTTGGGTTCACATTCAATCACAGATGCTCAAGTAACATGTAATTTTATAGTGGTTTGATGCAGCAGAGAATGTATTGCCTGTTTAATTTTTTGAAATTCTTATTCCAAATCATCGTGGAGTCACAGATTTCTTTTTTTTTTCCCCACGTTTCTAGGAAAAAGAAGGTCGAAGTCTGGACTTAAGCAGTGCGTTAGTGGTGACTTCATTAAACCATTAAACAAGTCATTCTGAAGGGAGTTCTGTTGTATTTTAAGCAAGGTCTATTCAATTTTCAGAGGTGAAAGGCAGCGATTCCCGAGTGACGCCGGGGCAGAGGGGCGGGGACTCGGCTCCGTGGTGGGTGTGCGGTGGGGCAGGGCCAGAACTGTGGGTCCCTCTCCAGGGGGTGAAATCAAAGCTTTCTGGACTTTTTATACCCTTTTACAAAATGGACAGAAGAGACTGTGAGAGGCAGCCTTCCTTTCCCCAGCGCTACCCAAGCTTCTCTTTAGCTGTCTGCCAGGATCTTCCTTAGAAGCTGCCGTGGTTTGTCTGGGCAGTTCTCTGCAGGGCCCAGTTGCAGGGAGCCTTTTGCACTCTGATATAAAGTGCCTGAGCTGCAGTTTGAGCTCCTTGTTCTTTGTCTTGTCTCTGCTGAACACAGAGAACAGTTTATTCCTTCTGTTCCTGGAGCCCCATTACTTAACTGGAAATCATCCAGTTCTAAACCCCCTGCCATGGGCAGGGACACCTTCCACTAGAGCAGGCTGCTCACAATCCCATCCAGCCTGGCCACCTGGCACTAAAAGATGCCCAATTCTCAGGAATGTGGTTTTAACTGAGAAGTCAGTGTGTGCAGGGAAGTTTTTTACAAGGTGCCAAGGCAGAATTCATGCTGATCAGCCATCAGCTGCTTGATAGGAACAGCACATCATTTCTTTGGTCACATCCTTCCCAGAGAGATTCAGATTCTGGAGCCTCATTTACCTGGTGATGCAGTTAAATGTGGAGAAATGCTAACTAAATTAATTTGGAACATGTCAGAGTTTGGAAGGCTGAGACCAGTGTCCTTTATCAGTGTTTGTAAGTAAATTTTCTGTTTAAATTATGGAATTCCATGGTGAACTCCCATGTTAATTTTTATTAATTTTATTGTTCTTATTTTCTACTGTTCCTGTTTTATATATCTATATATGTCTATATATTCATAATTGTGGAAATTTCTCCCTTGATTTACTTGCTGACAACCAAATAAAGGCAGATGTGTCATGGGCCAATGCCATGTGTCCAGTTCCTTTTCACTTCTCACCTTCCATCAATGCAGTTCCATTTCTGATCCTGCCTCTGCAGACGACCTGGTAAAACTTTTCCCATGCAGAGCATGCAGTAAGAGTTGCACTGTAGCTCACTGTGCACCAGCTTTTGAACTCATTGAATCTACTTTTACTACCTTGTACAAGGAGGGTGTGGAAGGAAAAGCTGCTCTGCCTGGCTGGGCATCACTTCTTGTTCTGACAAACACCCAAAAGGTGAATTTGTGGTCTGCAGCACGGGGGAGCAGCGTGGCTCTTCCCTCTCCTGAGGCACTGATCCTCCCTGTGTTCCCAGAGCTTTTGCAGACTTGATTGTAATTTCTGAAAATGACCTGCAGCTAATGGGCAAAATTGACTTGCTGGTTAATTAGGTGAACTCAGGAGTGTGTGGTGCTGAGCCAGGAAGAGGGAGTGATCAAAGCCTTGGCACCTCATTTGTGTTCTTGTGGTCTTGGATGCACACTCTGGCGTGTGTGTGCATAAATCAATGAGAGGTGAGCCCTGAGGTGAACTCTGTGGATTTGTTCCTTCCATAGCCCACATGGGCTGCAACCCACATGGAGTGGGAAGGAACGGCAGCCACCTCTGCAGTGACAGCTGCCTCCTCACAAGACAAGTTTTCTCGTGACAAACTCCAGTGCTGGATTTAGGAATGTTTTTATTTAAAGCATAAAATTTATATTCAAATTGTTAGAAATCAACACAAGACTGCTTCCTTTGCTTCGCTTCCCATCTTCCAGCTCTGCCACTTTCTGCATCCCGTTAATTGCATTACTTACGCTGTTGGCTGTGAATGAGCAGAGAGGGGAGCCTGGGCTTGGGTTAGTGAATTTTAGTATTGGGCTAAATTGCCATAATCGGCTGAGCCCCCTCAGTGGAGCTGCTCCAGCGAGGATCAGATGCCCCCGGGGATGAGCAGGAGCTGCAGCCCCAGCGAGTCCGTGTCCCCCAGAGGCGACGCCAGTGGGGTCGTGCTGTGGGCACGTCAGCTGGGAGCATCATCAGAAACCACCGGGCAGCATCCACATGACCCAGTGCTGACCACTGCTGCCAGCACAGGCCGGTCCCAAAACGAGCCCTGGTGGCACACGAGGCTCCAAGCCACCAAGCATGGCACAGGGTGGCCCCGGTTGGGCTTTGCTGTCCACTCCTTAAGCGTGGTCAGTCACTTGGCTGGTGGCCGCGTTGCTGCCGAGCCCTTTCCAGGCGCGGAAGCTGAAGAAGGTGCTCACCCCGTATGTGATCATCGTGACACAGGCGAAGAACTGGAAGAGGAGCACATCCCCTGTGTGACCAGGGTGGGTGCCCCAGCCCCTCGGCCCTCCCCTGTCCCCCGGTACTCACGGAGGCGGCGGCTCTGCGGTTGTAGTCCCACTGCCGCCAGGACGTGGGCTGCACGGCGGCCGCGCACGTCACGAAGGCTGTGAGGTACAGCACGGTGGCCACAGCGTTGGAGATCATCAGCTGGGGAAAACAAAGAGGAGGTTGTGAGGTCTGGGCTCAGGTTTGTGCATGCTGGGGCAAGGCAGGAGCAAAAGGCTCAGGTTCACATTCCTCCCCATTCCCCAGGAGAACACGTTGAATGCTCCCCAGGTTGTGCTGGGAGGTTTTTGGATGATACCACAACCGCAGCAGTTGGTGGCTGTAACTTTCTGGGTTGACACAGGACTTTCTGGTTTGAGCATTTTCTAAGCAATTCAGGGGCAGAATGAAACAATGTCACTGTGCAAAGCGCAGGGGACTTGGTTCCATCCGCCCAGAAGAGACTGAAGCCTTCCCAGACTATCTTCCCAAGATATTTCCCTCTTGGGATCCCACTTCACTCCCTCTCAGCTACCCACCACGAGGGGCCAGGGGACCATGTAGAACTTCTGATGAAGCTGCAGGAGGTAAGTCACGAGGAAAAGGAGTGTTAGTATCCAGAAGAAGAGGGACACAAACATCACCCAGCCGTACGCCGCGTGCAGGTGGTACGTTGTGGCAGCGATGAGAGACCACACCAGTAAACCGAGCACCTGTGGGGTGAAATAGGGAATGTGTTCAGGGGCTGGTTCCTGCAGGAGGAGCACAGAACATCGATCACAAGCCCAGGCACACCAGCACCATCAGCAGTTGGGTTCCCCTCACTCCAGGAAAGCAGCGGCAGGAGAAGGGCTCCTTGGAAAGCCGCTGTGCCCCTGTGTAAGCCCGCACCACTTATTGTCATGGAAGAAACACAACAGCCTTTGTTCTGCCCGCGTCCAACGCCCTGGTGCTCGGCTGCCCCGACAATGCCTCCTTGTCTATCACATCCATTTCTAACACTCGTGATCGCAAAATATGTGCTGGGGAGAAACATGTAGAAGGGGCTTCTGCAGGAGTGGGAGCTGCACGTGTGAGCTGCCCCGCTCCGGCTGCTGGCCGGGAAAAGCAGCAGCTTTCCCTGTTTAACAGCCTGGCCTGAGCAAGGGGCTGCAGAGGTGGGAACAGCTGCAGAGTTAAAAGGTCTCTGCTGCTGGTCTTGCTTCCATCTCTCTTTCCTGACAATCTACAAGGCACTCCCAGCAGGATCCTTCCTGGCCCCTTCCTTGAGCGTTTGTCCCTGTGTCACCTCCAGCTCAGCTATGCCCAGGGGCTGGAATCTGGAGCCTGGAGCCAGGTCTGTGCCAGATGTTTCAAAGTGGCCGCTCAGGGCACATCCCACAACGCTGCCCCGAGGAGAGGGGACGAACGAACAGGCTCCCACGCAGCAGGGCAGCACCGTGGGCAGGTCACAAGTGGCCCAGTACGCAGCTGAACAGCCACCCCCGTGCATTCATGTGGCGCCCGCGGTCCCGGGGACAGCACCAGCGGGAGATTATTGTGGTTGCCGCCAATGCTAAGGCAATGGGGAGGTGATGCTGCTGCTCGATTTGACGGTACAAGGACACTTGGACTCTTCTGAGAGCAGCCTGGGAGTACAACCTGGAGAGCTGAGAATGTTCCAGGGAGCGTGAGAGCCTCACGAGCCACCCCAGCACACCTCACCTGGAGTCACCGGGCTTCACACACGCCCCGAGCCGCTGGCTGTGCCCTGCGGAGATGCCCGCGCGGATCAGCCCGTGCCTGGCACTGGGAACCGCCCGGCACTGAGCGGAGTTACAAATGGGGACAAGAATCTGACTTTTCCTCTGGCTTTACAGAGGGAAGGAGGAGAGAGGGGACTGCGCTGTTATAGGGTTGGGGATTAACTAGGTTTAGACAGCGGAGATGGGGTCGGAGTGGAGGCCGAAGAGAACCCGGTCTGTTTCCAGCTGAAGAAAATCACCAAAGTGGGTGATGCCCTCCCCCCTCCGCCGCGCCCCCTCCCCGGTACTCACGGCCTGGGCGCACATCAGCCCCCCGAGCGGCGAGAGCAAGAAGGAACCGTCCAGGGCCGGGGGGGAGCCTGGGGAGACGCTCCGGGCGCCGGGCAGCCCCGCCATGCCGCGCACCGGCCCCGGGACAGCCCCGGCACGGCCCCTCCGCGGGCGGGGCGCGGGTGGCACCGGGGCGGCCGGGCCGAGCCGAGCCCCGGGCTGCCCCCGCCCCGCCACCCCCGGGCATGCGGCGGAGCCACCGGTGTGTCCCCGTGTCCCCGTACCGGGGTACCACCCACAAAGGGTGACCCCGCCGTGACAGCCCCCGGTCCCCGCATCCTGGCGCTGCTCTGCCGGGAGCAGCCGGGGTCTCCGCGAATCTTCTGTGCAGCCGCGTCCTGCTCGGTGCTCACCAGGAACATTTGGTGGCCCCCGGCGGATCCTTGATGCCTGGCGTTGCTCCTCGGCGGGGGCCGAGAGACGCGCGTCTCCTTGTTAAATCCTGGAATAATTTGGGTTGGAAGTGTTCTTAACGCACCCCTTTCCAACCTCCTGCCATGCAGGGACACATTCTACTAGACCGGGTTGTTCCAAGCCCCTGGCCTTGCTGCATCCGGGCCATGAACACTTCCAGGGACGTCTGGGCTTCTCTGGGCAACCTGCGCAGTGCCTCATCACCCTCCACTCCGGGAGATTCCTGTCACCCGTATCTCGCGCTGATCCAGGTCCCTCTGGGCGGCAGCAGGATTCTCTGGACTATCAGCCACTGCTCGCAGTTTGGTGTCATGTGGCCAGGGCGCCCCGGGCCCCACCACCCAGGTCTGTGACACAGCCGGTGACACGGGGCTGTCCCCGGGCTGTCCCGGCGGTGACCACAGCTCAGTTGGCATCTGGCATGGCACGAGGCTGCAAGGGGGGAAAACGCGGCAGGTCAGGATGGCCGAGCGGTCTAAGGCGCTGCGTTCAGGTCGCAGTCTCCCCTGGAGGCGTGGGTTCGAATCCCACTTCTGACAGCAATTTTTGCGCCGCCCGGCGGCCGCTTTTACTTGAAGAAGGGGCGTGGGAGCGTTAATAAAAAAAAAAACAAAAAACCAAACAACTCACAACCGACCAAAAGCGCGCGTTAATCAAAAGCAATTAACTAATTAACTACAGGCCAGCGCAATGCAAAAAATTACGAGCTGTCAGAAGTGGGATTCGAACCCACGCCTCCAGGGGAGACTGCGACCTGAACGCAGCGCCTTAGACCGCTCGGCCATCCTGACATCGCTGGGCGGCCCTGCCGGCCCGTGCTACACTTGAGGGCGTTGTGCAAAGGTCCCGTGGACACCCCCGTAGCGAACTTTGTTCAAAACCCCACCACCCTCTGCGTGAAGAACCTTTTGCTGACATCCAGCCCAAACCTCCCCTGGCACAGATTCAGCCTCGGATCCTGTCACTGCTCACAGACAGCAGCGATCAGCGCTGCCCCTCTGCTGCCTCTCCTGAGGAAGCTGCAGCTCACAGTGAGCTCTGCCCCCAGTATTCTCTTTTCCAGGCTGAACACGCCAAGTGCCCTCAGCAATCCTCACATGGCTTCCCCTCTAGACCCTTCACTATCCTCATGGCTTCTTTTGGATGCTCTGTTACAGCTTTTGACACTTCTTGTGCTATGGTGCAGAGCTCCAGAACACGAGATGAGCTGCACCAGCACAGAGAGGAGGGGGCAATCACCTTCCCATCCTGCAGCTACATTTAACATTCCCAGTTCAACCCAAAAATGCGATGGTTGAAGCACAGCTGATTTTTTTTGCTGCATACATTTGCTTGAGACTAATACCTCTAAATCAATCTGAAACCAGGAACTTTGGCAAGTGGAATTACAAGTTCTAACAGTACACGCAAGCTCTTCCCTGCACTAGGCTGGCTCATGGGAGGCCATGCCTTCTCCTTCCTCCACCCGGCATTAGACAGGAGAGTCATGCTGTGGGAAGCCTGGCTCCCTGCTCAAATCCCTCCTGGTTACACAGGGAGCACCCTGTGACTGATTGCTCATCGAAATGGCTCCAACCTCTGCACAGGGAGGTGTCTTTGAGGTCACTGAACCGACCTCAAACTCCTCCTCCTCACTCGACACGAATGTAAAGATATTCCCGCTGCTCCAGCTGTGCAGCTCACAACAGGAAAAAAGATAAGACAAAGCTACAGCCACAAACCTTTCAGAAATAGATATATAAACCACAAGGAGACAGGAAACATAAGAAAACAAAATATACTTTATTAAAATTAAGCATGTTAGCACCTCAGTGTAACCTGGAGAAGTCAAACAGTCCAGCAGGTAACCAGTCCAGCAAGGCTGAATGGCTGAACATCCTGAAGTGCATCCCAATGGTAGAAAAAGTACCATGACTGTCACGACATGCACGTTCTCAACAAGCTCAGATGCACAACCACCCTCGTTTGCAAGGAGGGATGTTGTGCTGCCTACTGTCCTGATGGGAGCATCTAGAGCTGCTGGACCAATCACATATGTTAGATCCCATGGTGGAGCAGGTATCTGCTTGTCCTACAAAAAAGAAATTCCAAAAACAAACCCAAAACAACAAGCCGAACCAACCAAACGAAAAATCTGCCACTAACTTGACTCGCAGAAAAATCAGTATAGCACAGAGCTGGAGAGCTACATATCAGATTGGAGAATAAATTAAACTGAAGTAATGGGAAGGACTTAGTACACAGATAGACATGTAGTATCTTTACAGATGACCATCCAACTTGGCACACACGTTAATAAAAAATGACCATGCATCACATAGCAGGCTGTGACAACCTGGAGCTGAACTGGCTTCAGGATCTACAGAGAAACCTCCGGCTACAAAACCCCACCGTGCACTTTTGTTCGGTTGTATACAGTGTTGAAGCTGACGGTTGTAAAGCTACATTAGCCAGTGTTACAAAGATTACATAATTTCAAACTAAAGATACTTTTTACATTTAGAAAATACCTCTATAAAATTTAGTAAAAGTGACATCCCAATCTACTGAGTACAATGCATTCTGGTTCCAGAAGGATCTCACAGACCCAGGGAACACCTGGGAATTCTTCCCTCTAAGGTGAATATGGGCACACTGTGGTGAAGTGCCTTTTGCTCTCAAAAGTGCCTTTTGTTCTCAACATCCATCGTCATTGCCCATTGCCACAGGGCCGTGCTGAGCACCAGAAACTCCTCCTTCTCCTCCAAACTGCTGAGGGATCTGTTCCACCAGCCAGGCTGGATGTGCATAACCAAGCCAAACCCGTGGCTTTGCTACCTTCACTCCACCCTCTTTCCAGCCAACGCTGATTTGGTTTCCTGTTGCAGAAAGTGAAGGGACTGATGCTGGCTAGAAACAGAAACTACACAACCATTCCACATAGATTTGTTACAATACTCTTAAATCTTGGTTTAGAACACACAAGCAGGTTTTAGTATGGTCTTGCCTAATGTACAGATTATTAGTCATGCCAACTAGTTTAGGATTAGACAGGAGAGGTTTGCAACCACTGCAGGTAAAGTCACTTTTGTTTCATCCTGGTTCTGAACGAAAGCCAAGGATTAGAATTCCAATGCGTTACAAAGCCTCCATTTCATTAGAGGCAGTCTTAAGCCAATGAGATAAACTACAGCTGTTAAATGCCACCGTGCTCTTTGTACCAGACTGTAATCCTTACTGGTTTCAAGAGCATCGAGACATCTGTAACCAATACACACACGCTGCAGAGAAAGCAGAAACTACACGGTACAAGAACACTCTTTAATCTGGGGCTTCTGTCACACTAGGAACAGCAGTCTTTTACGGCATCAGTAATTTACTGAAGAAACACATCACCCTGAGAGGGTTTCTAAAGCTTTCCTCCACTGAGCGAGGCTGAACGCGACATCACCGACCATTCCTACGATGGGCACAGTGCCCACGGCAGTCGGACACGCCTTCTCCAGGGTAGTGTTGCTGTTACCTCACTTGACACAGAGCGAGTTTATTTGCTGAAAACTGATACCCTACGTCCACTTAGTGACGACTCGGGTCCCATCCACGCTACGAGCAGCGCGTTCTGACACCGCGCACAGCGGGTTCGATGGGCCCGGTGTGAGGTGACACCGGAGATAACGTCGGGGCGATAACGGGGCTGGGCACCGAGCTGATGCAGTCCAGGCAGGGGAATCCGATGGCGAGGCCTTGCCCAGCTGGGGGCTGCTGTGCTGTGGGCTGAGCCGGGTACTGAGGGGCCGCGGTCCATCCCATCTCTGCTCTTCCCGGCACCGCACCGAGGGCGGCGGAGGCTCCGGGATGGAGAGCCCCGCGTCGGGCCGGGCTCCGACAGCCCTCAGAGGCCATGGCGCTTGCGGGTGCCGGCGCTGGCAGCGTGGAGCAGCCGGTCCTTCTCGCGGATCTCCTCGCGGAGCTGGGCCTCGGCCAGGCGCAGGCGGCGGATGCTGCCCTTCATCTCCTTCATCTTCACCTCCAGCAGCGCGATGATGTCGCGCTGCTCGTTCAGCTTCCTCAGCAGCTCCTCCGACGTGGTGCCCGACGACAGCGAGTACGAGTGATCGGGGGGGCCGCCCTCCACCGGGTTCTCCTCCCCCGCCGCCGCCGCCGCCGGTACCGGCACCGGCAGCCGCACGGGGCTGGGCCCGATGGTGGCGGCGGCCCCGAGCTCCACCTGCACCGTCAGGTCGATGGGCTTCACGTCCTCGGCCGCGCCCCCTGCAGGGGCCTCGGCGGCGGCCGCGGGGCCCTGCGGGGCGGCGGCGGCGGCGGCGGCGGGGCGGGGGCGCCGGGCCCGCTGAGCCTTGCGCTCGTTGACGCCGCGCAGCGGGAAGATGGTGGGGACCCGCACCAGGTAGGACTTGCGGCCGCCCTGGAAGTGCTCGCTGCAGACGCGGTGGCCTGTGGTGGGCTGGAAGGTGCTGAAGCAGCCGCTGACGCCCGCCCGGGAGACGTTCTTGAGCCAGAGGCGCCGCAGCTCCTCGTCCTTGGGGAAGGTGTAGAAGTGCAGCGCCTTGTCGCGGTGCGAGTTGTTGTAGCAGCCCGGTACGCAGCAGGTGAAGCCCGGCATGGCCTCGCGGGGCGGGGGGACACCCGCGGCGAGCGGGGCGAGCGGCCCCGCCGAACTACAGCTCCCACAAGGCCCGCGCGGCCTCTCGCCGCCGCCGCCGCTGCCGCCCCGGAACTACGCGGACCACAATGCACCGCGCCACCGGCGGAACTACCCGCCCCACACTGCGCCGCGGCCCCTCCCGGCGCGCGCGCACATGTCTCGCGAGAGGCGGCGGGACGCGGGAGGTGCGCGGCCGTTACCGGGTCCGACATGGCCGACGGGCGGTCCCGGGCCAGGGCCGGCCTCAGGCGCAGCGGCCGCCACAACGCGCGAGCGACGGTACAGGTGCTCCGAGGCATCTGGGAGGGCGGACGGGAGGGAAAGAAGAAAAGAAAGAAGGGAGAAAAGGAGAGTCGCTGTTGGGATCGATCATCCCGTGGGACTCGCCCGGTGCCGCCCGCCCGCCCGCTCGCTCGCTCGGTCTCTCGCTCTGTCGCTCTCGGTTTGAGACAGAAACGAGGCCTCTGAGGCAGGAGCGGAGGCCGCTCCCTCGCCCTTGTTCGCCTTTAGTCATGGAAAATAGGCCGAAACCCCTGATTTAGGCGTTCGCCGAGTAGCTCGCGGCTCGGCGGGTTTAGGTCGCGGCTGTGCTCTGAGGCCACTCAGGATTTCGTCCACAGGAGGGTTTTATGCTGGAACCCACCTGGGTGACATCCCGAGCTGAATTGTCTGCCATGCGCGCGGGAAGTGCCACCATTGTCAAAAAGCCAACACACGCAATTTTTCTTTGGAATTTGTGAAAAGTTTCTTACCGGCTTGCTTAGCTTGTCATTAGAACGTGGGTGGGGGATGCTTTTGATGCTGGGGTCTTTAATAATGAAAATACTAGCTTTGAATTGCTTGTCTTGATTTCTCTCTAGACTGGACTAAGTGTAGACAGTAAGAGTAAGTCTGTCAGAAGCACTTTGTCGAAGCAGAGAGTGACTGTGTTCCCTGATCTCACAAATGGCACACCACGGCTTATGCTCAAGAGAGTCATGCAGAACCGTAAGTGTCTTTTTTTCAGAAGAATTGAGAACAGAAAATGTTTTTGTAGAGTTGAGAAAAAAAGAGGGTGTTCCTTGGTAGCCCATTATCCTTTCCCTGTTACACGGAATAGAAATCAGATTGTTGTGTGACTGATTTATGTAACAGAGGAGTCACTGCGGGCCACCTGAATACAACTATCTGAGAGACCAGGCCTTGCACTGGTGAAATCATAGCTTTGAAAATCCTCTTAAAAACCCTCTTCACTTGGTCTTCTTATCCTGATGCTGCCTTTGGCTTTAGGATCAGGTGTGAGTTATAGAGGTGCATTCTGGAGCAGTGCAGGGAACTCTTGTGCTGCCATCTGTCACTACTGGCTTTGTCACTACTAGCCTTCCCAGGAGTAGAGCCCAAACAGTTTTCATCAGGTCTTTATTTTAACCTGTTAGTAATTGTTATTCACAGCCTGTAGTGTAGATGTGGCATCCTGCTGCGTTTTGGTGTTCTTGCTGTATTGAATTGTGGAAAGGAAATGTTCTGGTTTGTTGGCAGACCCCCAAGTTTCACCACTGGCACCTCGGATATCTAACGATGAAAACACACGAGAAGCTCAATCACAAGTCCCATCTAAAAGGGTTTCCAGCATGTAAGTAGGATTTTTTATAATTTACACTTTATTACATTGCCAGGTATAGCTGCAGTTCCTGTAGTGGGATTGGGGAGCAGGACTTCTCTACTTGTGTTTGAGTGATCAGAATTGCATCTTGTCCGGTGGGATTATCAGAAATGCCTCTCCAACTTGGTTTGTTTTGGTAGGGGGGAATTGCAGCTGCCAGATGTTGCTCCTGAGGCCACATCTATCACTGTATTCCACATGACAAAGAAGAGAAAGAAACTCAGCATTTCTGAATTTGAGAAAGCAGCAGAGAGACGACTTCCCCAGTACCAAGGTAAGGCTGCAGTCAAGAATACCTTGCTCAGTGCTGCATTTGCTGTCAGGTGATTCTCACCTGCTCAGCTCAGTTGTCAGGAGTGCCCAGATGGGCAGTTGTAGGTTTGGAATCCAGATTGCAATATCTCATGCAAAGGGGGTAATGGAGAAAGTAAAAGCCTCCATCCTATAAAATTTAAAATAAACCTTTTTAAAGCAAGTTCTAGGCCCTGCCATGACTGTATATATTTTCTTGACTACTTTTGCAACTTGGTGCTTTTTGAGTTTTGAAGTGTTTCCAGAGGAAGTAATCCCTGTCTTCTCAGTTCTAGAAAATTTAAAATACAAGCACCTGCATACTTTCCATTGCAGTTATATAAAATAATTAGAAAGTTCCTTATGAGCAGAACAGGCTTGAGTTCCAGTTTCATAAGAGCCTGTGGAATAGTTATCTGTGTTTCTAAAGCTCCAGATGTGTTTGGGTTAGGTTGCTGAAGGGTGGTTGTGACCAAGGTCTAACACCTTGTTATCGATGTGGTAAAACTAAAATTCTTAAATCTGCCATATGCCATGTTAAATTTTCGTTGAAATAACTATTTTCTTACCCTTTCAGAAATCGGTTATTAGATTTCTAATATGCAATTCTGAAATGTAGACAAGAAATAGAAAAGTGACCCCCTTATCCAATTTTGTTTGAAGCAAAGTATGATGCTTGAGGATTGTAGCATGACTGTCTCTCAAAAGAGGAAGATCCATTGGGATGTTCCTGTAGCCAGTTATGCAAAGGATAATTTATCAACTAATGTGTAATCAACTTTTTCTAGCTCAGTCACCGTTGGACAGCACAGTTATGACTCGGTGAGTTTAACCTGAAATGCCTTAACTTCTGGCTGTCCTAGGTATGATCACATCTGAAGGGGTGAAGAACAGTGCAGATACCTGGCTTCATGTTAAAGACCTGTGTTATTGTTAGCAATAACACAGTCATCTGCCCCTCTGCTGATGGAATTTGAAGGTGTTGCACCACACACCTTTTGATTTTCAGAAATTATGGCTCTGCACTGTATGCCTGAGTTGGTCTAGCTTGTATTACTACTATTACTCCTCTTTTTACTTGCCAGGATCATTCCTTTTTTCCTTTCATTCTCATGCTTCCAGCAGTAAATCAGTACACAATATACCTTAGAGTATTATCCCTGCCTATTAATAATTTATCACATCAATTGCATCTATGTAGTATTTTCTGGACTTTAAAAACCTTTTCGTGAACTTACTTTCTGGTGTTACTTGTGTACTTTGCAAACGACCCTGCCCAAAGTCAGAACGTTATTTCACCTTTATCACTGCAGCCTTTGCCTGGGGTGCCACACAAGATGCTTTTTGGGGCTGCATTCTGTACTTCTGTCTTTGAACTCTCTGAACCCCCTTTTTTATCGGGTTGCCTGGAGAGAGGACAGAAGGTCACGGCATTCTGCAGGGTGCAAAACACAGTGAGAAACATCTTTTCCTATGCTTTAGGTATTGCTGTCAGCTCTCGTCTTTAGACAGACACAGTGTGTTGGTAGCTGTACTTTGCTGAGAGTATTGATACTTAGTAGGTTCTTAAACTTGTTGAGAAGTCCTCTTACCACCCCATTGTCACCTAGAGTATGCCTTTACTCTCAAACATTTGTTTTCCCTCTTCTGTTTTGTTATTTAAGATTTTTTAAATTTCGACCCGTTTGTCAACTGTAGTGTTGCAGTGTCTCAGGGTGGCTTTAAAACAGTCTGCTTCCTGATCTCTGTGATACATATCTTGATGTTGAGTGATAGTATGAAAATAAAAAATTCATTTAAAGACTGACATATAATCTTCAAGGTTTTTTTGGGGAAATTTCTCCTAGTTCTGCGAAATGTGTCACTGTTAGTGCCATCATGTCTGTATTCTGAGGGTAAAAGTGGAGTGTGTGATTTTGACAATTTCTTCCCTCTTTTTACAGATCCCTTCATGTGTCTCTGGGTTCCTTGCTGGCCCCAGACACCATTGAAAAGAGGGGCTTGATGCGGAGGCCAAAAATCCGCAAGGCTGTTGACATGCAAGAGTTTGAAGGCAGAGTGGAACAGAACATGCTGAAGAGTAAAGGTTACTTTTGTGTTGTTATTTCTCTTTTGGAAGGCAAGGCCTTTCATTAAAGGGGCTTTTAGAAGCATTTGCTGAAGCGTGATCTGTATTTTAGAATTTAAAATTTACTAACGCATTCACAGAAATAGAGTGAGATTTGGGAAGCAAGATTATAATGAGGTTCTGTCTTGGCAGTTCCTTTGACTCTGTGCACTTAAATATGTGCTTTGCCCAGTTTGATAATTTAAAGCACAGGAATTGTTAGGGATCGTCTTCATCTGTGGGTACAGAGGTCTCTATTGGTTTGGTAGGCAGAATCGTGGGCACGGAAGTGGGGTCCTACAGTTTCAGTGTTTGATTGGTTGAGGAGGAGTAAAATTTGGTTGAATTACTTAAATCGTGAATTACACAAGTCCTGGTGGTAAAGTATGTCCCTAACCTTGAACAGTTTTTCACATAAAGTTTGTTCTAAAACTTTCTCAACAGGACAGAACTATCTTGTGGACTCACAATCTAGGATTCGGACAAGCATCCTGACAAGTGATGCAGAAATGATGATGAATAGCACGGAGCTCTTTGTTCAGTCCCAGCTGGATGAACAGAGCCAAAATAAATCTGCTCTTGAACCCCAGCTGTCAGATTTGAAAACTTCAGCACAGAGGAGCCTGATTTCTGATGCAGATCAAGAGGAAGCAAGGCTGGAAGGCCTGGTGTCTGGTGTGAGCACAAACAGCAGAAGGAGCCAAACATACTCCAAGAGCTCAAGCCTTGATCATGAGCGTGTTGACAGAATGACTCGTATATCTCCAGAACCTCTTGCAAAACAGCAAGAAGAAAAGCAAGATCGTTCCCATCAGAGTAAACCAGTGACACAGATTTCTTTTTCTGAAGAAGAGGTGGCTTGCAGTGAGTACTGTGGTTTAAGGCTTAGGCTTAGCAGGTATTAACTGAACTCAAAGAGTGGTTGAGGTAGAAAGGGACCTCAAGGTTATTTTCTCCAGGCCCTCTGCTCTGGCAAGGCCACATAGAGCAGGTTGCCCAGGGCCCTGTGTAAGTGGTTCTTAGGAGTCTCCAAGGGTAATGACTGCAAACTCTTCCTCCTGTTCAGGTGGAGCCTCTCATGTTCCAGTCTGTGCCAGTTGCCTTTTCTCCTGGCACTGGGCATCAGTGGAAAGAGTCTGGCTCTGTCTACCTTGCACCCTACCTTCAGACACCTGTATATATTGTAAGGATCTCTCCCAAGCCTTCTCTTCTCTAGGCTGAACACTCCCAGCTCTCTCAGCCTTTCCTTCTAGGAGAGATGCTTCACTCCCTTCAGTCGTGGTGGGCCTTTGCTGGACTCTCCACTGTGTCCGTCTCTCCTTTGTACTGAGACCGCAGAAGTGGGCACTCTAAATTGTCACAAAAAATAAGGAGATAATATGTAGCACATGCAGATAGACTTGGAAGGAATCTCTAGAAGTTCCTAGTCCAGACCTTCGCTGTAGTATGGTCACTTATTTGTCACAGCCAACCTCTCCATTGTGCCCAGGGCCTTAAAAATCTTTGGACAGAGACAGTTGCCTCCCTGCTCACTCTGTACCAATGCTTTGCAATTCCTATTGCTTGCCAGTTTTTCCCTGGTACCTCTCCTTGGCATTCATTTCCTTGGCCTTGTCCTGGTTGTGTAAATGGGAACACGTTTTCCTCATACTGTTTGGACCATGTAAAAGTTGTTTTCAAAGGACAAGGGAAGGAATCGACAGAAAAATTTAATTGCTCAGAGGTGTTCCAGTGGCAGGCATTTTTAGGACAAAGGGATAGATAATGCAAAGTAGGGAGGATGTGGAATAGGGGACTGGATCGAATGAGAGGAAGATGAGAGGGAGAGAGCAGATCTTTAAGATGCTGGAGTTAGTAAGGCATTAATGTTAAAAGTTAAAGGTAACATAGTTCTGCTCTACAGGAGGCTGCTGGTGGTGTTCAGGGTCAACTGAAAAACAGTTGCAAGGATTTTTACAACTGGTTTCTAAGATTCAGTGCAAACTCCCTAAGCTGCCTGGAGTACACATAAGTGTTTCTTGTGTGTCTTCTTCTCCCTCAGTTGTTTTTATATACCAGGAAAGCTAAAAGAAAATTCAAAAAGCTGCCGGGAGACAAATTAATGATCTGTTCTAGGTGTTTATAGATGGAACTCCTCTCTGTCCTCCACAAGTTCAAGTAAATATTTGGGATCCCCAGTCACTCTAAATGTTTCCAGGATGTCTTTGAGAGAAGTTGTCTTCCATGTAATTGAAGACCTAGAAATAAGTGATTCAGAAGAAGAGATGATTAATACAGTGAATGGAGTGGAACAGGAAAAGATTTTCGGAGAGGGTAAGAAATACTTTCATTGTAGAAAGGGAATTGAGTACAATCTGATTTAAACAGAGTTTTTCAGGTGACTTTCAGAGTAAAAGAAGACTTAATTGTACAGTAGATGCTGGAAATAATTCAAGTCATAGCAGAGATACTTGGACATTTCCAGACAAGCTCTCTAAAAGCTGTCACTGAAAGTGGAATAAAGTTTTGGCAAAAACATAATAATATGTTTTGGCGGGTCTGTAATACTTCCCATAGGAAGGATGAAGAGCTCTCTCTCGGCAAGGAAGGGATACATGTGGCTAATCTAAGCTAGTTCATATTTCATTTCACTTTAGGCCCTGTGTTGATGTAGGCAGCCCAATATTCTGATTAGTGGAATTGATAAAACTGATTTTTGCACCACCTTTGGGCACATTTATTTGTGTTCTTCACTTGGGCTTGGGGGTCCCAAGGCCTTGCCATACTTGTACATTTCAGTGTGAAAATTCCCAGTTGCTGGAGAGGATGGTAAAAGTGCAGTTTGACAGCTTTTGGTTCTGGACTCAGCCAAGATTTCCAAACCCTTCTTCAAGTGGCAGCATTGTGAGAGTGCCCAATTTTCTCAAAGTAATTACCTGTGTGGGTTTCTGCTTAATTTAGATACATGGTACCAGATATGTGGACTATATATGTAGCATAAAGGAAAAAGGAATATTTTAAGTAGTCAGTAGCTCCAGTTTTTAAACACAAGCAAGTCCTGTCTGTATATTTCTCATCCTGCCTGCCAGAGGCTTGTCCCAGATGGTTAAAACCACTCTAGGCTCTGCTCTCTATAGTGGAATATATCTCTTACAAAATTGTTTATGCAGAAGAATGGAGGAAATGAGGAGGAGAATCTGAACACAAACTCCAGGCATTGTTAGATTTAAAGGAAAAGGAATTGGTCTTTTACACAGTCACCAAAATTGAAAATGGCCATAGAGATGGCAGATCTGGAGGAGCTCTGCTTACTGTAAGTAAAATTCCATCATTGGGATCTGATGTGCCCCTATTTAGGTGGCTGTGGAATAAACACAGGAGAAGTTGGGCATTTCTCAGCTGTAAAAGGAACTACATCTGCTTTTCTTATTTAGACCTTATGGCTGAGTTTATTTATCACAAATAAATTCCAGTGGTGGTTAAACTATATGCTGGTGGTTGGTTGGGGTTTTTTTTGCATGTAAGATGTATGATAAAATTTCTTATTTTAGCTGCTGAACATGGTGCAAATGCTGGATATTCTGAACCTTTGGAGAAGAAACTGTCTGAAAAAGCAGGGTTGCAGATAACTGCAGCACAGGACAGCAGAGGTGAAACAGAAATGGCTCCTTCAGCAGGAGAGGAACTGGCAGAAGGCAGCATTGGAGCCCGTGGCTCTCCCCGAGCTGGTGAGGACACCTCTAATGCTGACAGCTCTCTGACTGGCATCAGTGCTGAGAGAGACTCTTTTGTTTACTTCCTTTGTTAACTTCCTTTGTTTTCTGGAATCTGGGCTTATTACTGGGGAAATATCAAACGAGTTTTGTAATTTTAAGCTGGAAGACTGCATTTTATTTAAAGGGAAACCAAAATTTTACTAGCAGTAGTGTTTAGAAATGTATAGTTACAGCAGATGTCTTTGTTTAAAATTTACTAGTGGAAGTTCCAGAATCAGGCAAAGGTATTTGTTTCAATGCTTTTTTTTTTTTTTTTTCCCTGTTTTGGAAATCTAGAACATGAGATTACCAGAGGCATTAGAGCTGAAAGTCTGGGCAGGCACTCTCATGCCTCTTACTCGTTTCATAAACCTGAGATGACTCCATTAAATGAAGCTGATGAACAAGAAGATGAGCTACAGGACCAGGCTGCCATGTTAGACCTGGATAGTTCACTGGAAGAGCCTGCTGAGGATGAAGCTGAACCCCCTGCAAGTCCTGGTAAGGAAGCTGCTCAGCATTTCTGTTAACGTTGTTTCTTCCTCACACTTGTTAAGAAGTGAAGTTAAAGAGAGTGCGGGTTAGACTTGGAGGAAACTGCAGTGGATTCATAGAGGAGGACAGGTGAGATGCTGATAACAGAAGCCTTGCCTGGAGGGAGTTATGAAAATCTACAAACAGGGAGAAGTTAATAGTCTGGCCCTTGTAATGTGATCCTGTAGCTCAGCTTGTCCCTTTGTTCAGTAGAATTTGCCAGTGACTGAGCAAGATGACAAGAGGTAGCTTGTAGACTTTGAAATTCTTTCTGGTTAAAAAGGCTGCAGCTTTGTGGCAGCCTGAGTTAATCCAGCTATCAGCCCCTGCAGCCTGGTCCTCAGTGTGTGTCCCTGCAGCCTGCCCAGCCAGCTGGGCCAGCACAGGGGCCAAGGGGAGTCACCAGCCTGTGTGGCAGGAGCTCTGGAGGGGGTGGCACTGCAGCAGCCAGCAGCTGTGCTGGCTCAGGGTGCTGTGGGGACACAGCCAGAGCACAGGCAGTGTGACCAGGACCAGGCATGTCCAGGGAAGCTGGCTGGGTTTCTGTCTGCTGTGGCAGCACAACCTGCTCCAGGAGTTCTGGAAAGAGGTTTCAGCTCCTCATGTAATTTCTTCCCAGAGGTTTCCATGAAGACTCCTGCGTTTGTCCGAGCTCCAGCCTCCAACCTCCTGCTGTCAACGCATGTTACAAAATCTGCTGCTCCCAGGTAAGCCTGAGCCACGTCCAGCAGTGGCCTGGCAGAAGTGGGGCTGGGGGCAGAGCAGAGCCCAGCTTTGCCAGCTGCTCTGGCAGCTGCCACAGGGAGTGAGCAGTGCTGAAGTCTCTGGTTCTTTCACTGCTGTAGCAGCTGAGTGAAGAGGGAATTGAGTGAATGTCATTGCTCTTCCAGAGCAGGTCTGATGCCTTAAGGCTTTTCAAAGAACGTTCTTGTAATGTTTTCTTGTGCTGAAGGTCAACATTTTTCCTAGGAGTTTTTCAATTGGTAAGCCACTCTGGAGCCATAGATTCCAGTATGGGATGCAGAGGCCCTTGCAGAAGAGGGGGAATTATGGATGGCAAGACACTGATCACATGGAATGACATACTTGTATTGACTGCAGAAGCCTAAAGCTGTGTGCAGTTGCTATGTGCTGACTAAAATGAAGCTCTCCTAGAGGCAGAAAGTGAACCTGTCCTCTGCAAATTAGTTAACACTTGCACCCTCTTGATTAGAAATTTGGTGGAGCTGTATGCTTCATCAGAGCCACTGGTGGGGAACAGGAGGAATTTTCTAGCCCGTGACTTTAAAGCAATAAACAAAAAGACAAAGTTCTTGTGCCCACGTACAGATGGAGTGGAGAGAGTCAAGTGATTCACACATCCTCTCTGGGAGTTTTGCATGTGTTAGCCTGAGGTTCCAGTTTTTTTCTGTTGTTTTCCAGTTATGTACTGAGTGAATCCATGGACTTCATTTAACTCTTCCATATTACAATTTTTCCTATTTTAAAATGGAGGACAATTGTAATTTCCTTTAGGACTTACAGTCTTGTTTAAGGGGGGGAACCCTGCAACCCACAGAAAAAGCCCCCATTGAAGTTCTTAATAGCATGGAAGGATTCCCTGCAGAGCAGCCTCCCCTGTCCACAAATGCAGAGGTGACCTGTGGTAACTCAGACTTTATGCTCTACTGGAAAGGGAATACTGCAGGAATGCTGTGGAAACTGCAGTCATGTATTGGAGAGAACTCCAGTTTGCTGACAGTGTGCTACATGAGCATTCTGAAATTAAGAGAACTTGAGCCTGGGTTGTTTCTCTCAAGGCCATGATGTCACATGAGCTGTTTGCAAACTGCCCTGTTTGGGCATGAGAGTTCTGAAGAATTGGAAGGGAGAAAGAACGAAGAGCTCAAGGTAGTTCTTGTCCCTTCCAGTTCAGCTTAGGGGTTCTCTGAAGTCAGCCTTGTGTTCTCTGCCTCTCCCTTGTTCATTCAATGTGTGAATTTTCAACTTCCCTCAAAGGTCTCCCCTGCAGCAGCTGCATCCCAAGGTAGTTCCAAAGAGATTGGGAACATCCCAGAAGGAACCACGTGTGCCTCAAGTACCGAGGAGTTTGATAAAGGAGATATTCAGACATTTTGCTAAAATGCCAATGACCAGAGATACATTCAAAATTGTTGAAAAATGGTACGTAGCAACAAACTGTTCTTTCCATTATTTTTAGTGTTGAGGGTTTTTTTTCTTTATTTTCCCTTCTGAAGTAATAAACCTGTTGGGAGTGCTGCTGACAACCTGACAGCCCTCTCTATTCATTTGGAAAGAGTCTTGGGAGTCCCGTTCTGCCTAAAAATGGGCAGAAATGTGCAAAGTGCTTTGGACTGCCATGTGGATACCTGATTAGTGCAGCCTTGCATTGGCATCTGGGTTTTGTCCCAGCAAATTGTAGCAGTCAGAGTCCTATCGTTATCAATTTCCATGGGCATGATGGCTCTGGACAGTGGTCATCCTGCTGGGCACAGTGATGGTGTGCAGTGTTCTATTGGAATCCAGGTTTCTCAGCTTTTTGAATCCTTTGACCTTGTTACCTTCACGAGTAAAATCTGTGTGTTGTTTGAGCAGTGTCACTGCAGCAGCCAATATCTGACCCTCAGTGCTGATTTTTCTGTCACTGGTGTCAGCCTCTGTTCCTGCATGTGTGGGAAGTTTGGGAAGGGTTCTGGTTATCAGACATGCAGCTGTTTCACAGCTGTCTTGGCAGTGAAGTTCCAGGGAGCCTGGGCTGAGAGTTGCTTCTCCCCCAACTTTCTCTGGCAGGCTGTGACCTGCACAACGAGCAGCTCTAGTGCAGCTTGCCCTGCAGAAATGGGTGAGTAGCTGGTGTTCACATGCTCCACAGTCTGATTTATTTTCCTCCCTCAGCTCTGAGAGATACTTCCAGCAGCTGAGCAATGATCTGGAAGCTTACACCCTCCATGCAGGGAGGAAGACAGTGGAGGCAGCTGACCTGGAAGTCCTCATGAGAAGGTAATGGAAGTGTTGTTACTAACCTGCAGTAGTGTTTGGTGGTGCTTTGATAGCCCAATAATTGTTGCCAGAATGTGCACCAGCAGTGTTTGAATAGTACCTGTGGGATCTGGTATTTATTCCGTGTGAGGCCACTTCTGTCCCAGGAGGCATCCCTGGACTTGGGTTGCACCACTCAGTGATGGTGGAGGGGCAAAAGGAGGTAGTGAGGGGCTGTGAGTGCAAGGAGTCATCTCGTTGGAGGAGCCAGAAGGAGAGGGATTTGTGTAAGGGTGAAGCACTAATGTCTGGGAAATGTGTAGAAAAGTAGAGAAATGCTAAGAGAGAAGCTGAGCTGCACTGTTTGCATCCTGAAGTGAGCTCCTTGCTAAAGTCATCTGCAACTGATACTGCAACTTTCACATGTCCTGCTGTCTATTTTGGTGACTTGCTCTTCCAAACAAAATACACCTCTTCCTGCTGCTGCACAAACTGATACCTAGGATCCAAACTGACAGTTCCTCTCCAGAGCAGGAGAAGGATTCCCCAGCCTGGGAGGGCAGGGCTGGCCTCTTCTAACAGTGACATTCCTGGGCAGCAGCCTGGAAGAGCTGTTCTTAGAGCTGCCACACTGGTGTTCTGTCCTCTGCACACTTGCAGCTGCCCCATCTCCTGCCTGAATTTACTTTGTTCTGTGACCAAAACGCAAGGGATTTATTCTTGGCTTGGAAGCCCTCTGAAAAACTTGAGGCCTGAAGCAATCCACCAGTTTTCATTTGAAGTCATTACTTTGGGTTGTTTTTAATCTCCACTGGAAGAGTTTCAAATGTGATGTTGAAGTCACTTGCGGGATAGTACAGGGCACAGCTGATGACGCTTTTCATGTGTCACCAAGGCATTGCATGGGCCTCTTAGGTGAGCTGGTGCTGCTGCTTAAAAATAATAATCTGTTGCTGTCCTGATCCAGAGGATCAATTTCTCACTGACAGGTGTGTGCTGAGGTTGGTATGAACAGGCCAGGAGGCACGATGGGTTAGCTGTCCTGGTTTGAGAATTCTGTGTACTTGTTGTTTCACCTTGTTCTAGATGTCTTTATGCCTTTTTACTGCCTCATGAAGAGATCAGGAATTGTTGCTGGCTCATGCATAAGAACAGCATTTCTGTTCCTTCCACACAGAAAGTGTGAATAAATGTTGCACACTTTTTTTCTTTCTACAAAACTGGGAGATGCTGATTTTTTCAGGCCAGTCAGCTAAGTGGTGTACAGGAAAACTCCATGGCCTACACAGTTGGCAAATGCCAACCACCTCTAAGTTGTGACTGTAAAAAAATCTGGTACTGAGCTATTTCCTTCTGTTATATCATTCTGTGCACGTCTTCAAAGGGTAGAATTTATCCATGGTAGGTGGATTGTGAATTTAAAAAGCAACGAGTCTCTACTTTGGTCCTGATCAATATAGATGAATATCCCCACAATAAACAGTGAGAAGCTCTGTGGGGAACTGCTGTGCAGGAACCCTCTGGGTCTGTCTGCTCTGCTTTGTGGGCAATCCTGGCATTACACCATGCACAGGAGCTGAGAAGCTGCCTGCAAACACCAGTCTGGAGCTGTTTGTCACAAGCAGCCCGAGCATTTCAGCTCTTAAATGCAAAAACATCCTTGCAAGAAAACTTTGATATCAAATGGAAACACATTTCACTAACAACTCTTGTTTCTTCTGTGCTTTCTGTTCGGACAAAGGCAAGGGCTGGTGACAGACAAGATGCCACTGAACGTGCTGATAGAGCGTTACCTCCCTCTGGAGTACCGGAAGCTCCTGATTCCAGTGGCAGTGAGTGGAAATAAAGTGATCCCCAGGAAGTAAAGGTGCAGGGATGGCCCCTGCGGGTGGGAAGGTGGCCTGCTCCCAGGGGCTGGCTGGGGGTTGTTCCATGTCACTGCTCCAGGTGATGCTTTTCCACACATCACCAGTCAGGCAAGGACTGCTGGATGTTCTCCTGAGTGGAGGCAGGTTGTGTTGTGGCCACCAGAGCACCCTGCTGGGTCTCACCAGCCTTTATTACAGGTCATTTGACTATCCATATTTTTGTATGTTACCTTTGAATACTTGTACAGATATGATAAATAAAACGTTATGTGTATTTTGTGTGATGCCAATGCTGCTTATGCCAGTGTGCTGAGAGGCTCCTGAACTGTGATGTTCAAATGTTCTTAGCAGGCATTTAGATGTGTTGGTGCTCTTCATGCCAGCCAGGTGTCTGTGTTTGACACACCTGTGTGGTTTCTGTGGCTCTGCTCTCAGTGGGAGCCGTGGTGCCCCTTTGTTTTCCACTGGTGTTCCTGTACAGGCAGTTGCTGCATGGAGGAGCTGGTCCATGCTGTGCTCCTTACACAGGGAAACAAAGGAAAACTTTTGTGAATAATTGTGCTGCTCCCAGGGAGCCTCAACCACACTAGGAATAAGATCTGACACAGCAAAGGGTGCCAAGGAGTGTGACTTCGTAGAACAGTTCAGAAGTTGGGAAATTGATATTGAACATTCTCTTCAGTGTCTCCTGGGGAGTCAGTGTGACAGGAGTTGTTTCTCCCCATCCTGAGGCTGTCCTAAATCCTGCTGCAAGTGTGGATCCTCCTCTCTGGGTTATGCTGTGTGTGCAGTATATCTTCCTCAAACAACAGTCAAATGGCACAATTTGTAGGGACTCCTGGAACTGCAACCCAGCTCTTAGCAGGAACTGGAAGTTAAACAGGTTTTGCACAACACTAAAGGATATAATGGCCAATAGAGTTAAAATCTCTTCAGCAGGCACTGCCAATCCAAAGGGCAGGCATTTTTCAATGATTTTTTTTTTTTAATGTAATTCCATGAATACAATGAAGAGCATTTTTTGCTGATACAGTGTGACTGAAGTGTTGGAAAGAAAGGGGTCCTTTGAGAAGCTCTCCTGGGAGCAGCATCTGCATGTCCTGCATGGATGGGATTCCCTTCTCCAGTGTGTCAGAGTTCACCTTCCTCTCATGAGAAGATGCAGCTTCCCAAGGGGAGGAGTGGAAGAAGACAGTGCTTTGCACCTGCTGCTTGTCACACTATTGGGCTGACATTGGGTTTGGATGTTCCACAGGAATTCTTCAACTCACTTGAGCCTTTTCCTTAGACTGAGTGTTTCTCAGACAGTTGATAACTGTTTGGCAGTCTGGAGTCTCAGAGGTTGTAACTTTTTGTATCAAACTGGCTTATACGGATTTCTAAATATATATATTATAACTATATATGTAGTCTAAATATACAAAGTCTAAATAGATAACTATATAAATATTGTCTCAAGGAAGAGAGGATCATTCTGTCAGGAGCACCATGTGTCAGACCTGTAACTTCAGTTGCAGATCAAGAGAAGGCAGCTCTTGCCTTAAGTAGGCCTCCAGTTGTTCCGACAGTCATGGCTTTGGAATGATGACAAGGGCCTGTTTATTGCTATGGAGACATGAAAAAAGAATGGAAACATGGAATTATGTGTGTCACATACAGAAGAATGAACTCATACTATAAGTCTGCTCAAGGATCATGTTTTTCTTCCTGCTGGCTGTGGCTTCACAGCAGGAGTTAAGTATTCTCAAGACATAATTGTGTTTATATATATATATATATATATGTATATATATGTATATATAAAAATGTATACAAAGACTATAGCCATATGGATCCAGCTGAGAACCAAAGGCGCCTTTGTGAGCAGCAGCGGGCCAGCCGGGGTCTCTCATCCGTGGCCTCTCAGCCCAGAGCCGCCGCTGCTCCCGTTGCTGGGGTTTGCCGGAGCCCCGCGGCCGCGCTCGGTTCGTTCCTCGGCCGCGGGCCCGCCATGGCGCGCGCGCTCCGTTTACCCGTCGCCACGGCAACGACCACGCCCGCAGGACCCCTTTGCGCGCCGCCATAGCTGCCCACGCAGCGCCTGACGCGCGGGCGCCGCGCGGCGGCCGAAACCGGCCCGTGAGCGGAGGCGGCCGGCGGGCGCCTGCAAGCTCTGGGCGGCCCTTGTGTTCCGCGCTGTCGCGGAGCACGCTGGGAATAGGAGTCTCGCACCCTACGGCATTGATGGGAGCAGAGCGGAACGGGGACACGATTCCCAGCGTGCAGCGCGCCGAAGGGGGGGATGGGGCTTTGCATGCTCCGCCTCTCGGGAGTTGTAGTCTCGGCGAAAGCCAGGCGCGAGGGGGCGGGCGTGACGGGGACTGCGCTTCCCGTCGGGCGGTGCGGCCCCATTGTGGGCACGCTCGCAGCCCATTGGCTGCTGGCTGCGGTCGGGCCTCGCTCCCCTCCCGCTGACACAAAGCGAATCCAAGATGGCGGAGGCGGGCGCGGGGAGCCCGCACGGCGGGGACTCGGCGCCGCCGGGACCGCCCGAGGAGCAGGAGCTGAGCCGACGCCTCCGCCGCCTCTACCCCGCCGTCAACCAGGACGAGACGCCGCTGCCGCGCTCCTGGAGCCCCAAGGACAAGTACAACTACATCGGCCTCTCGCAGGGCAACCTGCGCGTCCACTACAAAGGTGCCGGGCTGGGGCGGCGGCGCCGGGTTCGGCCTCGGCCCGGAGCGGGACGGCCCCGGCGTGGCCCTCGGCCCGGCCGCTCGGCGGGGCCCCCCGGGCGCGGGCTGAGCCGGCAGCGGGTCCGGCGGGCCCGGGGCAGGGGCGCCGGGGGCAGCGCGGGGCCGGGCGGAGCCGAGCTCCGGGTGCGGGGCGCCTGCTTGGCCCGGAGCCCCGGCTGGGCTGCTCGGGCCGGGCTGCCTGGGCTCGGGAGCGGAGGCGCTGGGGAGCTGGGGGCTTTCCCCGGCAGAGTTGTGGCCTTATATAACGCTGTGCAGTGTCGCTTGCCCGGGCCCGGTGCAGCCAGACCGTCTGTTTACTCTGTCATCCTGCTTAAAACCCGGCTGAGGGCTCGGATGGCCCCGACACGCTGCGTAACTGGGGCTTTGGCTCCTCGGGTTTACACCAAATAGCTGCTCACAGACTTGTAGTGCGATGTTTTCCTTGTTCGCTATTGGAGCTGTTCTCTCTACCCACCCAGTGGAGAGCTGATTATTCCTTTTCCTGCCTGGCTAGTAAACACTGATGTCATTCTCCTCTTGTGTAATCATTTTTGTCTTCTGTGTACATTGGTCTTCAGATTATGTGTGTGGGGAGGGGGAGAGGTGGTACTGAGAGTCTTTCTCAAAAACTTCATAGTGAAAACAAAGGGAAAACTGAAATGCTTGTGCTGTAGGAATTGTTCTTGGTGGCAGTGCAGGGTTGTATATGCTGGTTCTCTGGAAAGTGTGCTTTAAATGGCTGGCTCCGTGTAGAAACAAATCCCTGCTGGCTTCAGATACTGAGGTTTTAGATCAGGATGTGTGAGAGGCCAGATCCCCTCAGTACTTACATTTCTGTTCTTTCTTAGGTCACGGTAAAAATCACAAAGATGCTGCCTCGGTCAGGGCCACTCACCCCATCCCTGCAGCCTGTGGCATTTATTACTTTGAAGTGAAGATCGTCAGTAAAGGTAGAGATGGGTAAGTGCCTCATTGCAGCTCAGTGGCTGGGGATGTGTCTGGCAGCTCTGCTGGACTCTGGCCTCCTTTCCGGAAGGGTGCGAGGTCCCATGGCTGCTGGGTGCCGCAGGCAGGCACAGCATGGGCAGGTTTTGTCCTCCTCATGAATGGATGTAAATAAGGTGGAATGCCCTGGAAGCAGAGGCACTGGAACAGCTGTGTCCTGAGCTCTTGGAGATAGGCACTTGTAAAGGATTCAGTAAACTGGAGGTCTCTAGTGCAATATGAAGTAAAATAGGTTTTCTTCTTGCTGGCAAGGTCTGGTCACTCTGATTTCTGGAATTATGATGCCTCAGAAATGAAGTGAAGCAGAAGGGAGGGACCTTGAGCTTAATTTTGGACTGCTGCAATGGTGTAGCTGTGGTGAGGAGTACTAGAGCACTGGGGAAAGCAATAAAGGGGCATTTCTAACAAGGTCTGGTGTTCTCTTGTTAATGTGGATTTAATTTTTACTCATTATGAAGGTGTCAGTCTGCTCTGTGTGGATGGCCCTGGCATTGTTCATTGTTAAAGGATGAATATGGCAGGAATATTGTCCTGGAAGGGAAAGCCACACAGGAGGAGGGATTGGGTGTAATTAATTAATCTAGTCCTTCAAGTGTGACATTTGAACTCTGACCAGTTTAAGGGTTGTGGGGAAGGGCAGCAGATGTTCCTGCTAAAAACCAAATGAAAGTGACAACTTGTTACAGTTCAATTTTTTTGCCGTCATTGTTGAACTGAGAAGTGGCCTACTTGTAAAGGGACTTGTGAAGGATCTCGGGTTGTGCTGCATTTAGGCCCTTGATAATTACTAGGTTATCTGCAAAGGTGGATGCTGGGCTGAATTCCTTCTAAATGCAGGGAAAAGATCATCCTTATTCCTTCATTTCACTGGCCTGGCTATTAACTGCTTGTTTATTTTGAAACACTGCCCTTGATTAGTTTATGTAACTGCTAAAACTGAAATAATTTGCAGTGAGCTTCAAGACAGTTTTCCAAAGAAATCACATTAGAAAAGGTCACTGAACAGCACTTAATCCTTGCTGCAGTCTAGATCAATCTTAAAGGGAGATAACAGAATTTTCTGCTTGTTTTCTAAGATCAGATTTTTCTGTATTAATGATGTGTTGTTTTTATTGTATTCTGTAATTACAGTGACTTTCCAGGAATAATTCCAGAGAGACAGAACCATGTGTATAAACACAACAACCTGAACAGGAGCTGCTGATAGCTCTGATCTGAGGTCAGGGCAGTGGCGAGGCTTTGAGAGCCTCTCTGATGTCTCAGCCATTCCTGTGCCTTGTTTTTCTTTTGCTGGTAGAGACAGATCCAACTTTCATCTCACACAGGGTGATGCTGGGGATTTGTGGTTGTGAATTTCCACTGTAGCTGCTGCCTGGCTGTCACTTGAGAAGGTGCTTTTGTGTTTCTCAACTTTAATAGTTTGAATTGTTGCTGCTGGAGGGCTCAGTGTGTTGTACCAGTGAACTGTGGCAGAGGTCTCTTCTGAGGAGGCTCCCCAGTGTTTAGTCCATCATGGTGACTTCAGTTTAAAGGATTAAAGGTCCAGACATTTAAAGAAAGGATTGAGGGAATGAAGTTTTCAAGCAGTGTAAGTGGCCTGTCCCTAGAAACAACACTGGAAGCCCTTTAGCAAGAGGAAGAGGAATCCTTCTGACTCGTTTTCAGAATGGTTATTTCAGCCTCTGCCCTAGAGCTGGTTATTTGACTTCTGTATGAGGTAGTGAGGTAAGGATGTGAATTTGTTCCCCGTGTATCTCTTCCTGGACTTTGTGGTGGCATTTCACATTTAGGTTTAAAATGTGAGTGATTTGGTTTCGAAACAAGACTTACTCAAGAAAGGCTTTGGTGAAGTGAATTTCAGGAAGTGTTGAGGAGTCTGTACTCAAAGCTGTTGTCTTTCTGTGCTCAGCATTATTAGTTTAGGGCTCTGCACTCTGGTTAGATACTGACACTTGCTAATAAACAACAGAATCTAAGGTTTCAGATAAGAAATGGGGTAGAAGCTCCAAGTGGCTCTTAATGGAGAAGAATCCCAAAGCTCACACAATGCCTTTTTTCAGCCTGCCAAGGGATGTTGCCTGTGTGTGACATGCTCTGATAAGAGGCTTGAATTGGTATCAGGCAGTGCCATTTTGGATTGATGATGTCACTGTGGGAGAGAAACCTGAGCTATGGAGATGACTCAGGTGTCAGGACCACTTTTTTAACTTCTCCCCTGTGTTTCATTTGACTCAGGGGATTTAAAACCACTATGCTCTGGTTCTCTCCAGTTTTCTCCCACCACATCATATCCTAGCATTTAAAACATACATTCCTGCCTCCCCCTATTTTCCAGGCTGAGAACTCCTGTGCTCACCCCAGAGCCAGCACAGGGGAGGAGGGAGGAAGGGACTGCAGCAGCACAGACACAAGTTTCTTTGCCCTGTCACAGCTGGTAGAAAAACGTCCTCTTTTGGACTGCCTTGTCTCCCCTGTGCCTTAATGCACCTGCCCTAGAAAAGTCCTTTTGTTAAACTCTGCTATCATTGGAATTTTCTGCCTCAGCATTGGTAAAATAATTTACTGGTGGATATTTCAAAGCAAGCACAACATCCAAAACGTCCATTTGGTGTATCTAAGAAACTTTTAAGAGTGATCAGCTTTTCTTAGCTTTGTATCTTCCACTGCTCATGAGATAAAACCACAGTCCTTTGAGAGGGACAGGCATGATTCAAACTTACTTTTAGTTGAATGGTGGCTATTTTTTATCCTGGTGGATTTAGTCTTAATTGATAAGAGGTCGTGTTTATTTACTGGGTTTGTTTTTTGTGCTGTTTTGTTTTGGTTTTTTTCTGGGAGAGGGGAGGCTGCCAGGATACTATTGAAAAATTGTCTTGACAAGGTTTCTAGGTAACATGGAAAAAATCAGATCTGTCTGTAGGTTGATCTGTTGCTAATTCTTGAGGGGGGAGATCTCTGAGGTTCTTGTCCTCGGAGAGCAGAGGAGAACTCAGTTTGCAGTCTCTAGTCCCAGCCCTCTTGTCACTTCTTTGTCTGTGCTGAGCACACAGGGAGTGGCTCCACAGCACTTTGGGATGATACATTTCAGGGTTGTGGGATTCTGCCTTGCATTTGCTGTATGTTTCCTTCCCTCATGCAGACAGACTGCTATGGTGAGGTGGTTCAAGGAAATAACTAGTGGAAAGCTGACCAGAAAATAATGGATGATGATTTCATCTATTGACATCACTGTCAGAAATTGCTCCTTTTTTTTTCACTTTAAATTGAGGACTGCTTTTCAGGGTTCCCTTTATTAATTGAAGGCTGGTCAATAAAGGCATGGCCTGATATGGGAGCAGCAGCCCCTAGTTCCATTCAAAGTGTTGTTGAACACTTTTATTTTAAGGTTTGCTGGTGGATAATTCTTGAGCCATTGTGTGCTTGTCTCCTGAGTGTTGTCAACTGGAACAAAAGGACAAGAGGCAGTGGGTCACAAGTTGTGGCAAGGGAAATGCCAGCTGGACATAAGAAAGAATTTTCCTTTGTGAAGATGGTTGTGCACCCTAACAGGATGCCTGAAGAGGCATTGGCATCTCCCTCATCAAATTTGCCTGGGAGAGCCTTCAGTGTGCTGACTGGTAGAAGTTTCAGAGTTATGCTTTGGGCAGAAGGATGAAGAAAGAATGTCCCAAGGTCCCTTCCTGTCCAAACCTCTCTGTAAATCTGTGGATGGCTTCCTTCCAGCATTCCTCAGATGAGCAGATTGGCAGAAATGCCTGTGACTCCTCTGTTCCTGAGCTGCCACAAATAACTCAGGCTTTTATCCTGGTGCTGTTTGTAACAGTTCAACCTTAGCTGTATTTGAAGCACTGAACTCTTGTCCTCTCTCCCTCCAATCCGTGGTTCTGTTTGGTGGTGATTTGTCAGCATATCTCACAGTCTCTGTTTCCCCACTAGATGATCTCTGCTTGGTAAACAGGAACAGGGAGAGACTCATCAGGGAAGGGCAGCCAACCCACAACTTAGAGGCTGTTGTGACTCAGAAGGACAAGTCACCCTTGTTGTCCTCTTTATGCTGGGGCAAGGTGACAGTGCGTGCTTCTGACTACCAGTTTGGTTTCTTGAGTGGTTTTACCTCCCCCAGCCACGTGCTGGGTTGTGATGGAGTGTGACTGGGGAGGACATTCCAGAGGCCAACCCTGATGATGCATGGCTTCTGAATCCTGGTAAAAGTCACCTGTCCTGCCACCTCCTCTCTATTTCTGAGCTGCTTTTGGAACAGACAGCCCAGCAGTCTGTGGATTGCCTTTGCTGTCTTTTCTGGGGATGGTTTGGTCTTGGACAGCTGCTTACTCATATTTTGGTGTGCTGGCATCCTGACCTCTCTGGTGGGGACAGAGCCACTGCATGTCCATAGTGACTCTGTGCAAACACTGCAAGTGTGCTCTGTGGGCAGAGGAGGTGCCAGGGCAGCCCAGTGGTTTCAGGAGGACTTTGAGCCATCCTGGGAAGCATCTCAGTATGGCTTTTCCTTTTGCCATGATGTGTTTTTGTGTGCCAGCACTAGTGACTGTGTTGTGAGCTCGATTTTACTCAGAGTCTTTTTGCTGGATCAGTACTCAGGGATTTATGTGTTAGGTGGAGACCCAGAAAGGCAGGAGAGGGAAGCTGGAAAGACAGAAGCCACAGGGAATGTTGATATCCTCTTCCAGCACCATGCCACAGTTGCTTTGAGCTGTGCAGCCTGTTGTCCAGAGATGTTGGTCAGCACTAGCTTAGGTTGAGAACAGTTTTCTGGGAGAGGGAGAAAAGAGTTCTTTGAGGAGAGTGGCTGAAGAGCTAATCGAGCTCAGTCCATACCATAGTTTATTTAAAATCTTCCTTTAGCTCTCATGCACAAGTGCACCATAAGCCAGACTTAAAAATAGCTTAGTTTCTCTCTGACTGAAAAAGAAAAATAAAGGTCAGATGTGTTG